CTACTGGAGGGACTTAATAAGTTTTAATATAGCTGCTCTGCCTAATAAGCTGAACGAAAACCCTAAAAATGATGACACCTGTTAGTAACAGTTGTAGATATAAGATTCTAAAGCATGGCAGATATGTCCCATCGTGATTACTCAAGCTGTATTTTCTCATCACTAAAGCACCCACTTACCCTTTAGCTATTGGAGATTCTGAAAAAAAGGAGCAGTTCTGAAAAAGGAGGGAAAGAGGTACCATTCATATCCTTTCAGAAGTCACAGAGGTGGGCTAGGGATTGTATTTGCTCCTTTCTTGCCTTTATGAAAAAAAAAAAAAACAAAACCAAACCAATATCAGAAAACTATGTTGTCATCCTCCACAACATAAGTAAAGCAGAGAAGCCGTGGAGGAAGTCAGTTCAAATAATCAAGGTGCTAGAAGTTCCTCCTCCTTACAGCCTGTATAGACTTCAGCTTCTTTCCTACAGGCTACAGATTTCCAGGTATCGCAACTCATCGAGGGCGTCTCTGCCCTGTAGGACTGTGGCCCAGTGTCATTGTAAAGGGAGCAGAGAAGAATAGRAGATCAGATTAGTTTGTTGTTATCTATGGAGAACACGCCTAATTTGCAGCCASTCTTATCTCTCTTACTCTATTCAATCTGGAGCAAACACTAATTAATGTAATGTCTCTAATAGATTAGAGAGGGAAAGTATGTTGTTCGCTGCTCACCCCCTCCTCCCACAGATCACACCCCATTGCCYGGCGCGGTTAAAATCTGCAGAATAAACCAGGTCACGATATTTCCTGAAATCCACCACTCTTTGCACTGGCCAGAGGAGTTATCCATTCGGCCTCTCGGGATTCCMCAGAGTCCAAGCCCTCTGACGATGCCTCGGTTTTCTCAAGTTCATCATCGTTTTACACAACAGGAGACAGCTTATACCGCGCGTTTGTTCAGCGGCACTCGCTAAGCAGCCTGTACTCGATCAGGCTGGATCAGGACCCGCAGCAGGCTCAGCATTTGATTTTCGGCGTCCCATCGCCCTCTACCCGGAGCCTCCCGAATAGGGAGCGGCCTCGGGGCGGGGGGGAGGGAAGGCTGAGGGGGGAGAGAGGGAGCTTTCGCTAAGTGACCTGTCCGGGATTTCGCCGTGATTTACAGGAAATGCTCTTTGAGCATCATCCCGTAATGCGAAAGGGGCAGGGTGGACCCCAGCCAGCTCCCYGCAGCCCCGGGGCGGAGGCACCCCGGCTTATGGGCGGCGCAGCCCTGAGGGGACCCGGCCCTCGCTGCTCCCCCCGACGGCGGCGGGGCGGGACGGGGCGGGGGCTGCCCGCGCCCCCCGGCCTCACGCATCGCGCAGCTTTCCGCGCCCCGGGGACCTCCTGCCCCGCTGAATCAGACCTTCCCCTCCCACCACCTGCGCAAGGAGGCGGCCCGGGGAAGCCGCCTGGGTGCATATAAAGCGCCGCCGTCGGAGCGGGAAGCGCTGCTCGCTGCCGGGACCCCGCTGTCGCTCCCGCCGCGCCATGGCCGCCAGCCGCCGCCTGCCGCTGCCCGCGCTGCTGCCGCTGCTGGCCTGGGCCGCGCTGGCCCAGCGCCCCCTCACAGGTAGGAGCGGGCCCTCGGTGGGACCCCGCGGGGCCGGRGCCGCCTCTGCCGGCGCGGTGCCCTCAGTCCCGGTCGCTGGTGTCTCCGCAGAGAAGCAGCGCGCCTGCCTGCTGCCCCCCGACGACGGGCCCTGCCGCGCCCTGGTGCCGCGCTGGTACTACGATCGGCACACGCAGAGCTGCCAGGAGTTCACCTACGGGGGCTGCTACGGAAACGCCAACAACTTCCTCACCTTCGACGACTGCGAGAAGAGCTGCTGGACCATCAAGAGTGAGTCCGGGGACCGGCAGTGCCCCAGAGGGTCCCCGGGGTGGCAGGGGCTTGGAGGGGACATCGGAGAGGCTGCATGGCTGGCAGGATGCTTTGAACTTACCCGATGTATCATAGTCATAGAATCGTTTAGKTTGGAAAAGACCTTTAAGATGATCGAGTCCAACGATCATCTTGATGTGATATCCCTCCTGCTTATCGCAGCTGCTTGTTGATGTCAATTTTCGGCAGAAAAACCAGAGTGAGTTGGCTCAGAGAGGATGTATAGAAGTTATCTATTCGTATTTTACATGTAATTTAATATTGCACCTACTTGCTAATCAATGCATTGGATTCCTCCAGTAAAATGCAGGTAGGACAAACTGGGACTTGCCCACAYGTAATAATGTTTTACCCACACTACCATGTTGTTCTGTATGTGAGACATGAAGAGTTGATCTTATAGAGGATGAAATTATTTTTTTCTGCAGAAGTACCCAAGATATGCCGGATGGAGGCTGATGGAGGACCTTGCAGGAGTTATCTAAGAAGATAYGCCTTCAATTTGAGCTCTATGAGGTGTGAGGAATTCATCTATGGTGGCTGTTACGGAAATGCCAACAACTTCAGAGATTTGCAGTCTTGTGTGGACCACTGTCTTCCTGAAAAAAGTAACAGTTGTTCCAAATTTTTAATAAAGTAGATGGTTTGAAAGTGATATGAAGATGATACTTTATTTGATATTTTCCTCTGAATACCCATACAGAGATATTTTTGAAGGCTTGTGTGAAGCAGATGTTAATATTGTCCACTTTAATGTTACTTGTCTCAGCTGTTACTGAAAGTGCAAAAATTCTGTGATCTTAACTGCACCCATAGCTATATCCAACCAGTTTTTTGGCTTCTAGAGAGCTGTACAGATGTATCTGGAGGGGAAATAATTAGGCTGAAGATCTGTATTGAGGCAGATGTGTCAGAGATTGTGGCAGTCACATGTGGGGAAGTGATATTGTAATATAAAGCAGAAGTGCCTTACAAAATTCAGGCAGGAGAGGTGGTGTTAGGTGGCTCGGGTTTTTGGCACTCAACAGCTCAGCTTCTGACAAGTGTTTCGCCTAATGTGATTCTTCACAGTTTCTCCGTTTGAGCTTTAAATGAGAATGCTGGTAATTATGAGCAGGTGACTATAACAAAGTATTGACAYGAATGCCACATTAATATCTGATTCAAGATAGGATCTTTGGAGATGTGCCAGAATCTGTAAAAGTTGTCACTTCCTAAGCTTTATTAGTGCTTAATGACATTTATTTGTTGCTGATGACAGATTGTCAGCATTTTCGTAGGTGAAGGCTGGATTATTTTTCATTTCTGTTTTGCACWTCCAAAGAGTTGATAAAGGGTCTACAGCTGGAAAAATAGAATCTTGTTGACACAAAAYGAAACATTCTCTTGAGGAAAGTTGTCGGAAGTGTACTTTTTGCTGCAAACAGAATTTGCAAAATCTTAGCAAAGTTGTGCTTTTTTTTTTTCCTCTACAGCAGCTGTTCCACTGAAATTATTGTTATATTCCTATATGTATGGAATAAGACTATATAAAAATCTCAGCTGTCATATCTATATAGCACCACAAACAGGGAAAACTGATGAATTTCACTTGTGGGATAATAATCCTTTTTTCTGGGACGGTCTGTTGCTTTCTCAAATTCACAACTCCCAGAAATAAAATGTTGAAAGTCTCTGAAGTCATTGGTAATAGTATCAGTTCAAGGGGGAAAAGAGCTGTTTAGATACAAAATTTATTGCAGGGTCAATTTTAAGAAGCCATGTAGAGAGATTACATTTATGTAATTWTTCTTTCTCTCTCTTCCTTTCCTTTTTCCTTTTTTTTTCCCCCCCCAAGCTGGTCCCTTGCTGTGCTATAGCCCCAAGGATGAAGGACTGTGTTCCTCCTCTGTGCCTCGCTATTACTATGACACCAAGACTAAGTCATGTAAGGAGTTCAGATACACTGGCTGTGGTGGAAATGCCAAYAACTTCGTTACTGAAAGGGATTGCTACAATGTCTGTAGGAAAGGTAAGGGGATTTTTTGTAGTTTGTCCGTCACAAGCATATAAAGCAATGCACATACCAGTAACAAATGTTCATCCCTTTACTTGCCTTGGTATGCTTTTTGCATTTGGACTCAATGCTTTCAAAGACAGGGAAAATTTAAATGCAATGCTAAATCCTTCTGGCGAGATCAGTATGATGTCAGGTGGTTACACCATATTTGAATGAGGTATAGAGAAGGGCATACAAGAAGACTAAGCCTACCTTCTAGAGCCCACAGGGAATCAGTCTTTAAGCTGTTCAGTACCTCCATGACCACTAATTAAGATATCCTTTTATTCTGGTTAGTTTTAAATAGGATTAAAGTCAGTTGTGAAATCAATTTACTTTTTTCGTTTGCATTTTCAGAAGTTATCATCCTGCCTCGATTCCCTGTTGCCTACTCACATTTCCTATTCTCACTACTAACCATTTCTGCCTCATCAGTTGTGCTGTGTCAAGAGTTTCTGTAGCTGTGGGAGGAAGGCTTGGAATGATAATTGATTTTTCCTAATTTTTTTTTTTCAACCAGCTACTGGCTATGCTTGTAAATCAGAACAGTTGTGCTTTAACTTGCAGTCATGTTTATACCAGCTRTTGCAAGTTTCACCACTCTAGTTTAATTAATTTGCTATGAAAACAAATGAGAGAAGGATAGAGAAAAGCATAATTGTATGTTGTTCCCCAAAACACTTAGGAAGCAGACATAGCACAATACTTTAAAAATTGATACTACTTCGGAAAAGAATTTAAGGTGTTATTAAATACGTACATTGCCCTTGGGGAAAGAAAAGGAAAAACTAAAAAGTTTTTCTTCTTTCATCTGTTATAAAGATGATATGCACAAYGTCTGAACACTTCCATATTGAAGTTGTGTAGTCAGAAGGCTTATGTTCAGAGATGATTCTTCAGTTCTGGGCTGGAAATCCAGGGCTGGGGCAAGGATTGCACCCTGAACACCATCCTCAGAAATAAAAGTACTGCCTGCTAGTTAGTCATGGCAGTAATATTTCTGTGGATGACAAGTCTGAGTGTGTCTGCCATTGTAGTATGAGACAGTCTCTAATAGTATGCTAAGTTTATCTGAGATGCTTGTGATTATCTAATTTGCATCCATTCCTCCCTCTGAAGTGGTAGGGCCAGGCTCCAGTCTGGAGTGTGCAGGGAGAGAGGAGGAAGGAAACCGCCTCTTCAGTGTCTCACCTCCACACTGCCCCTGCCCACACCCAGCCAGATTCACCTGGGGCTTCTCCCTTCCTCACTATTTTTTTTTCTTTTTTCTTTTTTTTTTTTTTTTTGGAACAAGGAAGTAAGGAAATGCTGTCTGTCTTGTAACTAGAGCACCAGATAGCCACATGTAAAGTATCAGTTACAAGCCTTTTGACCAACTTGTGGATTTCACAATTCACTAAGGCTTGGCACAGCCAAAGACCAAAGTGAAGGGCATAATTAGTGGAAATTAATGTTGTGCTATGCATATTCATTTCTATAGCTTGGGAGTGCACAGCAACATTAGGCAAATTACTCAGGCAACTTAAGCCACTCCTCCTCTCCTGCTTCCATTATTTCCCCCTCAGCATCTTTCCTGTTACCTTTTAGAGTCTCAAGTTGAATTCTGTTGACCTTCCCTGTGCAAATATACAGCTGCTTGTTAAATTGTTCTATAGTGTTTTGAGTGAAAAAGTTTCTGATTAATTTCATTTTAAAAAGTTTGTATTGGAAAAGAAAGCAAGTGCATTGGGGTGAYAGGGAAAGAATTGGGATCTGGCCACAGTGGCTCTGCATTCTGATAAATAGGCAGCATAAAGACAAAGATTTTCAGTTGAAGTCGCAGAAGTTTTCTGAGCTGCACTCACACCATTCATGCAGCCTTTTTAAGCATGTCTGGAGTCAGCTCTGAGTATCTTAGGCCACTCTACAGCTGCTGTGATTTTTGTGCAGCAACTCAAATAATTTTCTTTTCATCTCCCACAAGCACTGGTTATATTTTAGCCTTTGCCCCACTGTTCAGAGAAATGTAAGAGTAGTTTGGGTTTTTTTGTTTGTCCGTGGTTTTTATTTTTTTTTTGTCTGGTTGTTGGCTTTGGTTTTTTTGGTTTTTTTTTTTTTTAATTTTTTTTTTTTTTTTTTTTTTGCTTTGGTTTTTTTTTTTTTTTTTTTTTTAAATAGAGAACAATGTATTTGTTATTTTGCTGTCACTGCAGGACAGCTAGATAAAGCTTTGATGCCTGCTCAGGAAAAAGCAACAAAGTAGGATTCCAGTGCCAAAGGTGAACATGCTGGAGACTTTTCAGTGTGAGAAAAGGGAGTGCAGACCCATTTTGCAGTTTCTGATGTTTGTTATTATTGGACAACTTCTTGAACAGCATAACATGAGAAAAACCCAAACAATGAAGAATAGTAACAGTTTTGTCATGCTGTTTCCCTAATTGCTTCCTTTGTTTTATTAGCAGGAAATCAGAAACCGAGGATCAACAAGCCAACAAACGTATTCCGCAGAAAGCTGGTTAAAAAACCTCAGACTTATAACCCGAAGTCTTAAAGCTGATGTGCACTTGGATGTTTGAAACACTTTTTGTTCGTTCCACTTCCTTTTTTGTAAGATATTTTTCACAAAGTTTTATACTGACATAGTTCTGTCTTTCAGAACTAMTTTTTATGTAATTTACTTTTTTTACAATGAACTGCATTTAATAGAAGAATGAACCTAAATTTGGTTCTTCTGCTCTGTTGTCTTTACAATAATATTGTGGCAAAGACAAATGTTTAGATTTCCATGTTTTTTTAATGGGGGGAAATTTACTGCTGCCTTGGGCGAATATTTCAGCTGTTGCAAACCAATTAAAATTTGAAAAATCAATTGTCTGTTGATATAAGTAAGGAGAGTACAACACTGAAAATATACCATGGATTTTTAATTTTTTACTGCATCCTCCGTTTACTAAAGAAAAGGAACTTTTCACAAGTATGTTCTTATGTTTATTGCCCTGCCATTTACATACTTTGGCCCTATCAGTTAAATAGATTTTTTTTTTAATGGTCATAATCAAAGCTTTCAGAAGCTTTCATAAAAGTAAAAGAGGCATAAATTTAAATGTTCCRTTCATCTCACAGGGGAAAATTTGGAATAGGGATGCCTTGATAAACATTCTGACAAAGGCCAYGAATAAGCTAGTTGAGTATTAAAGCAAAAATGTAGCCATTGATTTTTCATAACATTTGAAATTTTTGCTGTTACTCCAAATCCTCATATGGCATTAATMAGCATGGTTTTACTGATTTTAATGGAGCTATGCTGATAACATCTGCAAAGGATCTTGATATTTGTGGTAATGCAGTGGCTGTTGAAGCAGAACAACAGAAGTTTCTGCAATTTTTTCTGCAAAAGAGTAATGCCTCTTTTGAGGCACTTTTATATTTCGTATGGGAGGTTATGCCTATGGTGATACTTTTGCACATTATTTTATGTTTTGTATTTCAATTATGTCTGAATTTCAATTAATTTCACCTACAATATTTTCTAAATAGAAATTCCTAAGTCGTGTTAATAAAATATTTTTTGTGGAAAAAAGAGTGGACGCTTGTTCTGTCATTATCCTGAATGAGTTGTATACACCAATATGTGCAATGGAACCTATTATTTGCTAATTATGACTCTAACAGAGTTTAGTTGTCTCTTCCTCTTTAGTTTAGAGGTCTTTATTTGAAGAAAGCCAATAAATTGCATTGATGTCATTCATCCCCTGCAGTTTTGTAGCTCAGCCGGCACTCTGGAAAGAGCTGCTCTCAAAGGGGTGCTTAGTTAAGCTGATTGTCTGCTGCTGGGTCTCCTGTTTGGTGTTGCACTATCTGAATAGCTTTTGTGTGAGTARCAAGCTATTTGTTTGAAATTACATTTGCTTTCAGAAAAATTAAAATAGAAAAATTCAGGTGTGTGCTTTAAACCTATTTCAGAGAGGGAACATGACGGGCAAACTAGTCAAGATCTGTTTGCTCTTACTGATGTTTCTCTCASTGCTGGATTTTCAATTAAAACAGTCATCTGTGCTTGCCATTGCCTTTCTACCACTCCATTTCTGGTTCTTGGTCTCAAAACCCCTTCTCATTTTAGTCATCTCTTGCTTAGTGCAGATGAATGAGGACACTGTGATAGACAATTGCAGCTGACTAGTGACACAGTTTTGAGTGCTTATCCCATGCCAAACCTCTTGGTTTGCAGTTTTCAGCCTCCAGACAGAAAGGGACCAGTTTAAACTCCCTGAGGGACCAGGACCCAATACCCATGACATTGCCCGTATCTCTTCTTGTGGGTTGTGAATTTGGGCTGTGCTTCTTGGAGCAACAGCCCAGAGTGTCCTCTGAATACCTTTTCATACCTAACACTAACATTTAGGGCTGTGTTTGTTTCATGTTCTGGTCACTGGCTTATGAAAACACAAGCCTYTTTAGGAAGTCAAAGTTCAATTTAAATATAGTTTTTAACTGTTGAGGATGGCTGTCTTTTAACAGCATCATCATGGGGTTGTAATCTTTGGGATCGTGTTCGATAAATTGCTGTTACTTCTTGTCTCTCTGGATATTCATAGGAGTATCTTTGGATGGATACAAAAGTGGACCCAGGATGTAAAGGGAGTCCCAAATCTGAGAGCAGCTCTACTCTACTTTTTGATATCAGAATTGGGTCCCTTGTCATACATCATAACACGTCCTGAGCCATGCAATACTCTACTCCTATCCTGGAAACAATCTGAGAGTTTGGTACTCTTCTGTTCATGTAAACTCAGGGGCTCAGCAAGAGCTGTCTTGAWGGACCAGGCTGCACTCAAGATCATTGGTCACCGTGACCCTTTGCAATGCAACTGCTCCACAGGCACTTTCTTTTCTTGCATAAAAAATTTAATTTAAAGTCTAAGGCCTTACCGCTAGAATACTCAGTGATATACCACAGGCTTGGGTTGTAATCCCTTATGAATTCGGTATCACATAGAAATTTAACATAAACCATAATTTTCACRGTTTCCTAGTGAGCATGCTGTAGAATATTCTGGAGGGGGCAGGGGAAGGAAARAAGGAGCTCATGGAAGTTTTTTCAGTCTCTTGTTGGCATTATTGCATAAATTGTACCATGTTTCCAGGTAAATGACTTCATCTCCTTTTTTTTTTAGCTACAAAGAATTTCAGCTGCCTCTGTGCTGCTCTGCTTTGTGTTCTTAAGTTATTCTAAAATCCCTTCACACTACTGTGACTGACTAATCTAAATAATTGTCATCTACAGCCTTCTATATGACTCATTACTTACTTCCTTCTTCAGTTTGCTGATGAAACAACACCGGCCCGAGGTTGGACAACTGCTAGTGTTTTGCCACGTTGAAAAATCGATGCAGCCCATACCATCCTGCAAATTAACTTTTATTATAGTAGCCAGTGTCCAGCATCTGGTGTTGTGTGTCACAGTGCAAATTTCTATTTCAGAGGAGGGAAGCAGTGATTGTAATCAGTTGGGTTTGCGTAGGCACACTGCCAYTGAATCTCCTGACTAGTGATTTGCACAGGGCAGTCACACCTGCCACTGAAAAGTAGTTGCTGGAATAAGCAGATTTGAATAAACTGCMTTGCAACATCACTGGTCTTTAGCTTTCATTGTGACCCATAATTCCAGTTCATTTCTTAGTGATATTTTGCAAAGAACTATATAAAAACTACAAAAGTTAAAATCTGCACTGATTCTTCATCATATCTCTGTGACAGTACTCAACAATTTGCTTTGTAAAGTATTTCCAGAGTAGAAGAAWGCCTTCATCTTTATATTGCAATGGAATTTTACACATAAAAATAAATAAAGAAAAAAAAAATCCGTGTGGAAACACATACTATTTTTATTGATAAGCTACATGATGGCAAGCAGAATTTCACCACCTATTTTTACAGTAATTTGCCCCAATAAATGGCTTTTTCGCAATTCCACACTTTAGTAGTAAACTGAAAATGAGTTCAGCTTGTGTGCCTGGAGTCAGATTTCTGACTACCAGAAGCATTCCTGTTTCTCTGTCACTTCTCATCAGCTGAGGAGGTGGGAARCAGAACATTTTTTTAGAAAGAAGCATTTTTTAGAAACAATGGGTAATGTTAAAAAAAAATATTAAAAARTCCCTAAACTTCTGTCTCAGATCAGAGATAAAAGATTTTACCCTGAAGCTTGAAGTCCGCCATATGTCTGAGGGCAACTGTTCTGACCCAGACAGGGACAAGAAATCTGTTCTGCTAGAGAAACACATAGCTATGACTATGTGAATCTGGAAGAACCACATYGTGGATGTTCCAGAATTATTATGCATTTACATCAGTGCTATTGAAAGCAAAATCTGCATCATTTTTTTTCTAAAAAGGAAGACTATCACTGACAATAATTAGCACAGAAATATTTRCTTCTGTTAAAGTAATCCTCATTTTTCAGTGTGTGGTGGTCTTGTACCATAACRTCTGTCACCTGATAAATTGCTTAATTGCTTAGGAGAGGGGGTGTTAATCATAACATGTACAGCCTAATGAACAGCAATGATATTTTAGAAGTAATCTATGTAAACAAGATGCATAAAACCAGTGTGATCATGAGCTGTAAGTTCCAAATAAATGCCAGAGGAATGAGCGTTCYCAGCTGATGTGTGAACTATTCATAAAAGAGAGATAGTTCAGGCAAGTTAAAGACTAATCTAGGAAATGTAGAACATCATATCTATTATGTGGGAATAAAACAAGTCACTTTTAATGAACGTTTCCTTTGTAGTGGTGGTGCTGACGGTAATTTCAGATGAATATGGACAAAACTGGTGCTCTTCCAGACAAATCGGATTAGGTGCCCAGCTGCTTTTGTGTGAAAGGTTTGAAATGCAATTTCAACTCAAAGCACRTCACATTGTCTGATTTGGTGGGGCTGAACTTCGAGCATACAGGAATCTTAATCCTTATTATTCTCTCAGGCCAGATCCTTATTAAAGGCCTTATATTAACTACAGGTTAAATACTTTATCTGCCAGATGAATTACAATGGTTTTGCTTAGTGAGCTTTCTTGGAGGTAGGGCACTATTCAGGAAGTTTGCAGCAGCTTTTCTAAGATGGCAATGCCTATTTACATTTTTTAAAGCTTAGTGTGAAATGCAGTAATAAAACTCATAGTATCTAATAAATGCATACAAACACTATTGTCTATGGGGTATTTTTTTCTGTGCGTGGGAAGCAAGATAAAGAGGATAGATTATGCTAATAAAAGTTATTTAAAGAGCCAAGAGGGTATACAGAGTGAAAAATACACATTGCCAAACAAATAAGAAGCTTTTCATCATCACAGTAATTTTTAACAAGGAGAATCTTGATTTTTACTAATGTTGAAAAAGAACACTTTATAAAAATGCCTCCAGTAGAAAGTAGCACAACTGGTAAGGCTTTTTCCCCTTTTTTTTTTTTTTTCTCTAAAAGTGGGAGGGAAGTCTGATGAGAAAAGCAGTGATGACAAATGGTATTTACTGTTCTCTCATGGATCCAGGCTGCTGCACTGGAGCACAAGGAGTCTGCACAATTCCCACTGTGCCAGGCAGAGGAACTCTATCACAATTTCAACAAGAGCTGGAGTGAACCCAAAGACTTCAATAACCACATTTTAAGAGCAGAAACATGATTTTGCACAGAGCCGTGTTCCCCGCAGCAACACATGCATCTACTTAGCCAGTGTTCATCAGTGAGTGCAAGCAAATAAACAAAGGCTGAAAAAAAAATTCTCAGTCTTTATTTCAGTGCCCCACAGAGTTGCTGGATGTATGACAGCTTGATCTAATAGGGCAACTAACACATTGCTTTGCTCCAATATGTCTCCAAATGGCATTAGAACTAAAACTTCTATGAAGCTTATTCTACAGAAACACTGGGAAATATCTGTTTTAACATTAAAGGCATTTTCTTGATTAGGTTTGATCAGGGTTTGTTCCTTCCAACTTCATCAAGACTTCTTTTTAATTTAAACCAATATTCAGATAATTAGAGATCAGTTTATGTTGAAGGAGGAATTTAGTATGGTTTAAATTAATCTGAGTTTGGATGCTCTTCTTGCCAATATATTACAGATTAGTAGACACCTAAGCATCASTTTTGTACTGGCAATCGAGTTCCTTAACTGGTCTCATAATAGCAAYTTTGCAATTTTATATCCTTCTAGTGCGAATTAACCTAAGCAACACTAAAACAAAACTGAATCATGTAAGTTCTAATTAGCATTGAACTTTTTAAAGCCACAAACATGAAAAAGTAAATGTGTCACTGAAATAGAGCTCACCTCATTTTGTTTTCCAATTTTGAATTTTCTTTTTTAATATGAGGCGGAAAAAAGATTATAGACTGTGCTCTGTACTGATGCAGATGGAAAGCTACTCTTGAACTCCAGATACACAAAAAAAGAAGCTCTTTCCAAACCTATTGCAATAGAGTTGACAGAGAATTATCCAACTCTTTATTGCCTCATTTTTGAGCAGACACCTGCAGTTTTTCTATCCCCAACAGACAGAATTATGCCTTTAAATATGACAGTGAGAA